GCCGTTACACTACTATGTTGTTGTAAAAGAATGGCAAAAAAGGTTTCGAGTTATTGGGTTCAAAAGGGACAGAGAGAAAAAGACGGAGGAAAAGATTTCTCCTCTGATGATTAAAAAAAAAAAAAGATAATCCATACTCTCCGTCGACATTTTCCTTTTCTTCTTTTCCTTCTCGAGTAGGTCCAAGACATTACAGGTAAAAAACAACGCGTGTTGACAGAGCTCTTACAACCAAGACCACCCACCGGACTTAAAACATACCTGATGATTTCTTCTGTGTTACATGTGAGCGAAAAAATGCCCCAACTGCAAGAATCTTGTTGGTAGCAGATTGCAATTTCCTTGTGGCTTTGCTAGGCTCGCCAGCTACAGGGAGTGAACGAGAACGAGGCCCCCCTTAGAAACTGTTCTCAGACAAGGACCCGAAATCTATACACATATATGTCAATATCATATTCACATCTGGCTCTGGGTGAAAAGCCTGTACCGCGTTCGAGATTGCAAGAAAAAAGAGACGGCATTCATATGAGCCTCCTATTGGACAGCGGAGGGTTTCATTAACTCATAATTGAAGTTCTAGCTTCTGACTGACAATGAGTTGTGGCAAAGGGCTTGGCTTCTGATCTGCGGCGCCATGCTTTTCCCTTGAACTCTCGAACCCAGCGGCAGAATACGCCGATGCTCGTAAGCCTCGAAACCGATTTTTATGTAACCCTCATGTGTTTACTTGTTTTAGAAACCAAAGTGACAGTCATACAAGAGTCTAGCACTTCCTTACTTCAAGCAAGATGCAGCGTTTTCAGAATGATCATAGTCCTATTTTTTTACGTTGGGCAAGTGAAGCAACGCTGCGGTGACGTAAAAGTGGAGTTGGATCAATGTCTTGGACAACCGGATTTTTTTTTTTGTCATCCTTTAAATCCTCTTTGATCCTCCAAGGATATTACCATGGTGGCTTAGGGCTGTCCATGGGATCCTTATCTGTTACCCTGGCCGGTATGTTGTGTATTTATTTGTTTCGTCTTTTTTCTTTACGTTATGGCCATGCTGATATTAACATTTTTCAATATTTTTTTCTTCCATTCCCAACCCGGCGGATTCACTTGCTGAAACAAGGAAGTACCTCGGCGAAACTTAAAAGTAAATATTGCATGCGGGTTAAATCTTCACCAAAAATGCGAAAATGACATAGAAAGGGTATTAAAAAGAAGCGACAGGAAGGAAAAATTAAGCGAGAAACACTATTAGCTAAGGAGATCATACAGAGCAAATTCACTCCAGAAAGAAAGCCGTGTTTTAGCAAGGTTATTGAATTCTCTGAGCCGGCTTAGAAGCGACCTGTCTGACCGCAGCCCAAATGAGGTCGCCAGGGGTCACATGTCACTCAGCTCTCTCAACAGGGATTTAGGACTCACTGTTTTTTTTCTTTCTTTCCTTCCAAAGCTTATTATTTGGAAATTTTGTGTTCATTGTTATTTGACAGCCAAGAGGATCCTATAGGTTGTTAAGGAGAACCGAGTATCAAAGCTGAGATATAGTCCATTACATGCAAGCAGAACATCCCCTTTTCGTACTGTTTGGCACTACAGCGAGGAGGTCGTCCCACGTTAGGCGGAGCCAGAGACGTTCCTTCCAAACGATGTTTACGAGCTAATGGCCCTTTCGGCATATTAGTCTGTTTTCTTCCCTTCCCTTCGTTTGTTCCTGTTGCAATCTGATCACCATGAATTCCGCAACACACACAACACACACACACACCACACTCATATATGTATATATGTATATTGTGTATGTGTATGTATAAGTGTTATGGTGTGTGTGTGTGTGCGTATGGTTTGTGGTGTGTATTTGTATGTAATGTATAATATATACATACATGTATATGTATATGTATACATATGTATAAGTATTACATTTAAGAAATATGTATTGCTTATATCTATTCTATATATATAATATATATATATATATATTATATATATATATATATATGTGTGTGTGTGTGTGTGTGTGTTGTGTGTGTGTGTGTTTGTGTGTGTGTGTGTGCGTGTGTGTGTGTGTGTTTTAGTGTGGCGTGTCTCTCTATATATACGTATATAAATGCATGTATGTATAAAGTATGTATTTATATACCGGTTGATAAATAGATTACCATATTGATAGATTATATGTATATTCATGCACACAAACACACACACGTAGACACATGCACACACACACAGACACACACACACACACACACACACACACACACACACACACACACACACACACACATATATATATACTATATATATATATATAATATATATATATAATGTGTGGTGTGTGTGTGTGTGTGTGTGTGTGTGTGTGTGTGTGGGTGTGTGTGTGTGTTTGTATGTGTGTGTTTGTGTATGTATGTATGTATGTATGTATATATATATATGAATGTGTATATGTATATATGCATACATATATGTACATAAATATATACATATGTATACATATATACCATTCATATATATACATATAATGTATATTCAAATATATAAATTACCTACATATATATATATACATATATAAAATATATATATATATAATACATACATATATATATATATATATATATATATATATATATATAGTATATATGTATGTGTATGTGGTGTGTGTGTGTGTGGTGTGGTGTGTGTGTGTGTGTGTGTGTGTTGTGTGTGATGTGTGTGTGTGTGTGTGTGTGTGTGTGTGTGTGTGCGCGCGTGTTTATGTGTGTGTGTGTGTGTGAGTGTGTGTGAATTGTGTGCGTGTGTGAGTGTGTGTGTGTGTGTTGTATGTGTGTGTGTGTGTTTACGTATGTATGTGCACACGTATATATCATGTGTGTGTGTGTGTGTGTGTGTGTGTGTGTGTGTGTGTGTGTGTATATATGTATACATGTATATATGTGTTTTGTTTTAGTGTGCGTGTATGTGTTTATTGATGAGTGTGTGTGTGTCTATATGTTTATATATATTTATGTATATGCATATATATATGTATATATATATATATATATATATATATATATATATATATATATATATATATATATATATGCGTGTGTGTGTGTATGTTGTGTGTGTGTGCGTGTGTGTGTGTGTGTGTGTGTGTGTGTGTGTATGTATGTGTGTGTGTGTGTGTGTGTGTGCATACATTTATATAATATTATATATATGCATATATATATATAATATATATATATATATATATATATATATAGATAGATAGATAGATAGATAGATAGATAGAGATAGATTGATAAATGAACAGATATGAATATGAATACATACAGACACACACACACACACACACACACACACACACACACATATATATAATATAATATATCATATCATATATGTACATATATATATGTATATATATACATGCACACACACACATACATATAAACTTACACACAAACACGCGTACACACACACACACACACACACACACACACACACATACACACACACACACACACACACAACACACACACACACACACATATACATCTATATTCATATCTATCTATAAATGTATACATAAACATGCACAAACACACTCACTGATACATACATGCATACAGATACACACACACATATATGTACATACTCATTTAGATATGTATATACATTTATATGTATACATATTAACACACGCACACACAAACACACACACTTTTATACATAGAATCAATGTAAGCAATATATATTTATTTATAAACTATGTATATATATACATATACATGTATGTATATATATACATACATATCTATTTTGGCTTATTATTTGTCTGAAGAAGAATTCGTGAAGAGCTGGAAATGTTAGATTTTTTTGAATTCTCATTGTGGCTCATTGTGTATTCTCTTTGTTTTCAGAGAAACATATAAATATATACATGTATATATATACATATATACATATATATCTATATACATACATATATATACAAAATATTATATATTATTTACATATGCACACACACATATATATATATAATATATATGTACATATATACATACATACATATACAAATGCATATAAACATTCGAATTCATACATACATATGTATGCATATATATACACACATGTATATTCATGCATATACATATGCATATTCATATATATATATATATATATATATATATATATATATATATATATATATATATATTATATATTATATATATATATGAATAGAATATTGTGTGTGTGTTTGTTGCATATGTTTATGTACATCCCAGCATTTATATATAGATTTAGTTGTGTTCAATACTTGTTATCAAAATTATAGACTCCATATACTTCAAAGATCTTTGATAGAATTGCGAAAGAATATTTTTAAAAGGGTTATTTTAACACACTATATAGCAAATATTATCCTTTTTTACATTTGATATCCTTTCTGTACTGCATTTTTTAAAAAATTCATATATAAATAAACATTTTTCTGACTATGAATACATAATAAGAAATTCATTATTACAAAAGTATTCAGGTCTTTTTTATGGTGTCATCCTTAGAATTATATTGGAATTGTTTGCCTTTGTGTGTTTAAAAGTGCTAAAGTATTTATGTGAAACCAATATTTGACTGGACTTACAAACCACGGTGTATTACCTAGGACACTTGAGAGGACGCTCTTATTACCTTATCACTGATTTCATCTTCGCTCTCATCTTATATATATGTAACAATGCGATCAGTAACTAGAGTTTCAAACAACTTCTCTGATTTATGTTATCTGAAGTGGTTTCACGAATGGCCAAGGAAAACTACGACTTTTTCGATGTGAAATTTATTATATGCTGGTAATTATTCGAGTAAGATATGAGTAGGAAATAGAACTTTCCAAACTGCAGTTAAGAAAGCTTCAAACATTATCTATATGATGCATGTTAAATGATTTCTTTAATGTGACGCATATGAATTCCCATTTCTCTGAAGAAACGCCGACTTCAACGCCGACTTTGTCGTCTAGCCGGAGAAGGGGTTGAAGGCGCGAGCGGGTGCAGCGTAGCTGTAGCCGCAGTCTCCTTTGACGGTTTGGGTGGCCGTCACGGTGTTATACTGTTCCCTGTATACGGTAGAAGTCACGTAATTGGTGTTGTAGACGATTCTGGTGTTGTATTGAGTGCGGGTCTGACCGGCCAGTTGTTGTGTCCTGACGGAGGTTTGAGTGACTGTGACGTAGCGTGTCTGAGCGGGAAGGTTGATGTATGAAGACGCTGTCCTCTGAGCGTAGATGGTTGTAGGAACCACTCGGGTAGAAACCTGTGTCCTGACGACCTGCTGAGGAACGGTGACAATCCTTTGTTTGTGGCACCTGTTGTGTACGAACGACGGTGGAGACTCGCTGTTCTACTTGTGTACGTGTTACGTACTGAATCTGCGTGTTAGTGCGAACCACCTGCGAGATGACGGTGGTGGTGACTGGAACCAGCTGTGTAGAAAGTGATGACTCGAGTCTGGCCGGGCTGTGTGATGGTTTGTGTGACGACGTTGGTCCTGACAAGCTGGGTAGTCCTGACGACGTTCTGTGCAGGTATGACTACAGTAGAATAACGAGTGCTGTACTGAGTAGTGGGTACAATACGAGTCTGATCTGGCAACTGCTGTGTCCTTATAACCGTCTGTGTTCTGTAGACGGTGCTGACCACCTGCGGTACCACCTGTGTTGAGACGACGTTTCTAACAATGGTGGTTGGTACCTGCTGGATGCGAGTCTCATACCTTGTCTGGTACTGCACTTGGGTCCTGACACTCTGCTGAGTACGAGTCACGTAGTTGACCTGAGGAGGAAGAGTGACGACCTGTGTGCGTAGGTTTTCCTGAGTGCGAGTGACAGTGATCGTTTGGTATCGCACTGAAGGAACCTGCTGAGTGCGGACGATCTGTGAGTATAAGGTGGTGAGGACTTGCTGTGTGCGGACGGATGTTTGTGTGATGTACTGAACGTTTGTCTTGTAGACGGTTGATGGGACGACGACGGTGGAATACTGAACCTGCGTGCGGTAAACGACAGATGGCTTGCAGTCAGCTTCTTCCTTTGGCGGCAGATAGGAGGACTCGAGGTTAATGCGAGCTCCGAAGACCTGACGGCGAGGCCTCTCGACGGACGCCCCGAAGGCGCAGCCGACCAGCAGGGAAAGCAGCAGCGTCCTCATCCTAAGGAATACATGTTAGCATTACACTAGTTGAGTTCGATTAAAAATAAAAATGACGGGAATGAATATAGAAATTAATAAATAAATTTCCATTGTGGCATAAAAAAAAATCATAATAAATTTATGAAGATACTTACTTTGGAGTGCCTGTAATATAGTATACTTATACAAAGGAGTAATAAAAGTGTCATTTAGAATACTGGTGTGTATTTCACATTTACATTTACAATGGGAAAGCAAATATTAACATTTGCAAAAGTTTCCATTTTGATAAATTTTTTTTTTCTAAAAATTGAAGGGAACGGCCGGGCATCGTAATTATATCCACAAGAAGAAGTAACTGTCTGAGTGACGGTAACTTGGCGAGGCTGGTTGACTGTGCGGTACACGACCTCCTGTCTTTGTTGGGTCTGCACCACCTCCTGGTTAACGACGCGGTCTTGGCCGGGTACTTGGACCACAGAGGTTCGGACTTCCTGACGGGTTTGTACCACGGGGACCGGTGTGACGTACTGGGTCCTGACAACGGTCTGCACCCGTGTGAAGGGCTGAACCCTTGTCTCGAAGAGAGTGGTGTAGATGGTGGTGGGAACCACCTGAGTACGTACCACCTCTTGAGGTACCACCTGTGTGAGGATGCGTGTCTGGGTAGCAATATTGGTTCTCGTCACCACCTGTTGACGAGTAGCAACGACATTCTCATAACGAGTGTTAACAGATGTGAAAGGAATGACCTGTTGACGCTGAGCAACAGTAGTTCTAACAACATCCTGTCCACGGACGACAGATGTCTGGACAACCTGTTGCACACGTGTGGATGTTACAAAACGGGTGATAGCTGGCTGTTGGCTCCTGACAATGGAGGTCTGACGACAGTCTGAACACGAGTTTGTACAACGTCACGGCCTGGGACAGTGACGACACGGGTAGCTTGACGCTCCTGTGTCTGTAATTAGTAAGAGGCTGGATGATAGTCCGGACCTGAGTGCTGGTCACCTCTACAGGAACAACCTGCGTCTGCACCTGTGTACGTGTGACATAGTTGACCTGCGGCACCACACGGGTTGAAGTGACGAAACGCGTTTGTACAACAGGTGGACTTGGAACGGTCTGGGTGACAAACCTGTCAACAGCACGAACGGTTGTTTGTTGAACAACGCTGGTCTGATACTGGACCTGTGTTTGAACACGAGTCTGGAAAAGTGTGGTTGGCACCACCTGTTGCCTGACAATGGTTGTGGTTCTGTACTGAGTGTTGACTTGATTGACGGTCTGGAGGCGGACTGAGGTTTGGAGCTGAGTGTTGTAGACGACGGAGGTGACAGGAGCAAGCTTGCATTTTGCGGGAGGAAGGTATTGGTTGTCGGGTTCCTCGTAATTATATCCTTGGGGTTCGGCCGAGGCCAGAGCCAGCAGCAGCAGCGTCGCCGTCAAGCGCCACATCCTGCAAAGAGAAATTCCACAGATTAGAGCAGCGGTGATTGGAAGGCCCGCGTCTCGATCACTCATTTGGGAATAAAGTCCAATCACGCGCCCCTCTATCTGTGCAACTTCTCCATGCGGTGTGGGCTGACCCGAGAGGACTTTATCGCCCAGATGAGCCGCGAGACTTATCAACAGGTCGACAGAAACAGATGTCAGACAATAATATGTCGAGTGAAATGACGGAAAAGTGAAAATGGTTTTATATTAATCATTTCATGTAGAGTAAAAAAACCACACAATAACAAAATAAAAATATAATTATATACCATAATAACAATATATATCACTTACTAATGCAAATTAATAAAATAATTTGATTAATGAATATAACATAACATAGAAATATAGTATACTATATAATATATAATACGTATATGTATATAATATGTACAATATACATTTATAATATAATATAATATTATAATATATATATATATACATTAATAATTCTATATACATTTAATAATACATACTCATATATGAATATATCTTTCGTGTGTTATTCAGCGCGTGGAAGCAGCACTCACATACACATACGTTGTATGTAGATATAATGTATGTAATACACATATACACACCCTATACATCACAACCAAACACGCGCAATAAATACACACTAATACTAACATACAATATAGCGTTATTTGAATTGAATCACATTAAGGATAAGAACATTCGATAGTTATGTTTATATAATATATCACATGGTTGTGTTGTGTGTGTTTGTGTGTGTGACTGTACGACTGGTCGCTCGTAGATTATATTATGTGTTAATTACTAATTAAACACATAAATTATAGTATATATATAACATCACACATATTACATATTAATATATAATATATTAATATATATATATATATATATGTGTAGGTGATGTGATGTAGTAGTGTGTGTTGTGAGTGTGTGTGTGTTGTGTGTGGTGTTTATGTATTTATGTATTATTTTTGAGAGGATAGTGTATTAATATGTCCTAACTAAGCATTAGCATATGAACGCGTATATTACTAAAATTGTTGACCGAAAACTGTATGAAAAGTACGGGTAATAATTTGAGATGATATTGACTCATTTTACTAAGTTAATATACATATTACATATATATGTCTCTTATAATTGTGTATAGATATGTCATATTTAATTATCATAAATTATTCTTATGTACATGCAACTATAATTGAATTCAACATCAATACAATACATACAACATACATACAAACCACACACCAACACACACACACCACACAATCACCACAACACACACTACACAGAAAGCAACATACTATATTTATGTATATTATATATATACACACAATCACATAAGCATAAAACACACACACACACACACACATCACACACACACACACATATATATATAATTATTATACAATATATAACAATAAATACATCAACATATCACAATATATAATATATATATATTTTAACATGTTTCCACCACACACAACACCAACACACACACACACCACACAACACATACATATATATCAACATATACACTCAAATATTATAATATTATAATTATATATTTAATATATATATATTATATATGAATAACATCAAATCATCGCACCGTGGACTTCAATACTCAATATATACAGATTATATCATAATATATATATAATATATATATATTACACTACATACTCATATAATATATATATTTAGTAACACATGTATTATATTACTATATTGTTTGTTTAAATAGTAGCGCAAACATCCACATATAATATAATATATCGACACAACACTAACATCATAAACTGACACGCAACACACACTACATACATAACACACATACACTAACATTACATCAACACAAACACTAACACACACTATATGATAATATATATATCACTAACTGTTAATATTACATACACACACATCACACTAACACTATACTAATCACATATACTAATATCAACACACATACTAATACATAAACTAAATACTACATTATAACATATATATATATTATATATTTAATATATATATATATATATATATAAATATATATTATACTTAAGTAATATAATATATTAATATAATATAAATAATATAATTAATATATACATTAATATATTATACTATTATTAATATATTAATTACAAGGTATAACATACGTGTGGGGATTTTTATGTGTGCATAAATATCATATGAATATGTTTGGTTGTCATGTGTTAGTTCACATAATGTTATAAATATGTAATAATCAATTGATATAAAAAATAGTATGTATCTATAACACTGTCTAAAGTTCTCACAGTCGTTGCCTTGCTTCTCCTTACTTTTTTTCTCATTCTCCTTCCGTCTAATTGTGTGGTTCTATCTGGTAGAACGGTTTAATCTATACTTCTTCCCTTGGGTTCGTTCTCGTCGCATACTGTCTTCTCTCCTTCTCTTCTGCTGATTCTCGCCTCTCTATATATATATTATATAGGTATATATATATATATACACTGTATGATGCCATCAATATTGTAAATGCGATTAGCCGTGATTGTATAGATGTGACTAATATGAGTCTCGTTATTAATATTACTGTGATAATATAAATATATATTAGTACTAGTTTGTATACGCTTGTGTTTATATAAATACACCGTACATATATTATAATAATACTATCAATATAGTGATGTGATAAATAATCTATATAAAAAAAACCTGAGCCTATATATATTAGAATATATATATATATTATATATATAATATAGATAGATAAGATAGAATTAGATATAGATATGATATGCACATCCACACTCACACATATATAATGAATACATCTAAATGGGCATAGGTATGTATGCATATACACATAGATATCTGTAAATATTTGTATATATATACACATATCTATATATGGATACATGTATTTATACATGTGTGCACAAACACACCTACCCACACCTGTATATATACATACACACAAATACATACAGACATGCATATTTATACATATATCTGTATCCACACACACTGAAATATTTCTATCTATATCTATGTAAATACATATACATATATATGCATCTATCTATATATGTATATGTACACACATATTTGAATATACTCATATATTCGTAATGTATGTATAATATGCTATACTATATAACATATATTAAAATACATATGTCTGTATATAATGTATATATTATGCATATATAATATGTATTTCTGTGCATATAAAACATATTTTTACACATATATATATTATTATACATGTTTACGCATACCTCATATATACATACATACGCGCATGCAGACATACGCACATACACATATATATTTACATATACATGTATATATCTTTATTTATATATACACAGTACACACACACACACACTCACACAGGCGGTATTATATTATGCAAAGTGTATCAATTGTACGTAGTTGGTTTCTATTAATAAATGATTTAGAATAAATGATTAACATGCGCTTATCTTTCACGTAAATGTCGTAAACCCTACATGATTCACTTCTTGAAATCTCGCGGGAAATAAGTAGTCCTACCTTCCAGGTAATCAGTAGTTA